CATCACCACCCACCCCCAGTCCACCCACAAAATTTATTCTATTTCCCCTTCCCAGGGAGATTCATGATACCCCCTCGGCCTCTCCTCTTTATCTAACTTCTCTGGGTCTGTGGATTGTAGCATGGTTAGCCTTTACTTAACAGCTAATATCATGTTTGTCTTTCTGGGTCTGGGTTGCCTCACTCAGGATTTTTTTTTTCCAAGTTCCATCCATCTGCCTGCAAATTTCATGATTTTTTTTCTAACGGTTGAGTAACACTCCATTGTGTAAATTACCACATTTCTTTATACATTCTTCAGTTGAAAGGCATCTAGGTTGTTTCCAGTTTCTGACTATTATGAATAAAGCTGCTAGGGACATAGTAGAGCAAGTGTCCTTGTGGTAGGATAGGGTGTTTTTTGGGTATATACCCGAGTGGTATAGCACTGAGGAACTGCCATATTGATTTCCAAAGTGGCTGTGTAAGTTTGCACTCCCACCAGCAATGGAGGAGTGTTCCCCTTGTTCCACCATCTTTGAATCCCAGCATGCAGGAGGCAGAGGCAGGCAGATCTCTGAGTTCAAGGCCAGCCTGGTCTACAGAGTGAGTTCCAGGACAACCAGGGCCACACAGCGAAACCCTGCATATATATATATAAAAAAAAAAAAAAAAAAAAAAAAAGTACTCTCTAGACGTCATTCTACAAGATGAAGGTGTCTTGATTCAGAGACTGCCTTCCTGGGAAGACAGGGGTCTCTACAAGGTGGCTTCCCTTATAAGTTACTTACTATCTAAAACCATACAGTACATTTCTGATCATTGTTCCCCCCTCATCTCCTCCGAGATCTTCCCCACCTTCCCATTCTTCCAACTCCACACCTTTCTTTCTCTCTTTAGAAAGTAAACAAGCAAATAAAACAAACGAACAGGGCTGGAGAGATGGCTCAGCAGTTAAGAGCACTGGCAGCTCTTCCAGAGGTCCTGAGTTCAATTCCCAGCAACCACATGGTGGCTCACAACCATCTGTAATGAGATCTGGTGCCCTCTTCTGGTGTGCAGGCATACAAGCAGGCAGAACACTGTATATATAATAAATAAATCTTAAAACAAAAACAAAAAAAAGAATAAATCAGAATTTTTTAAAAAAGCATGATAAACACATTCATATGTAAACACACACAGTCACACAAAGATGCACACAAAGACACACAGAGACATACACAGAGACACCAGCACGCACACCAACACAGACACAGACACATACACACACACACAAGCACAGATACACAAAGATACACACACACATAGACATACCCAGACACACACAGATAGACATACACATAGACATTCCCAGACAGACAGACAGAGACACACACACACACACACACACACACACACACACACACACACACACACACTAAAAACATGTAATTCTTAAACTACTACAAGTGAAAATTTAGAAAAATAACTAGGGCAGGCCTCAGAACCATGACAAAAGTTTTTACAAGTTGTGCATTTACTACTTGGGATCTGGAGATTGGTTTTGTTTTTTTAATAGCAACAAGAACGGTGCAGTAATAGGAAAGTTCTAGAAGATGCAACCCTTCTACTTTAAAACAAGAATCTGGTGTTTCTGCATTTTATCGCTTGCAATAAAACCATTTTTTTTTCTTCAAAAACAGTTCTACTATGTAGCCCAGGCTAGCCTTAAGCTTGTAACTCCCCAGTCACAGCCTTCCAATTGCTAGGATTACATGTGTAAACCATCCCCACCCAAGAAAACTTCTAACTGTTCAAAAAAGAAATTCATGTTATTTTACTGTGAAGGACACACTAAGATAACATGAAAGTTGAATAAATCAGTAAAGGGACACTATGCCCACAATTTCAGAGTTCAGAAAAAAAAAATGTAAAGACTGCATAAGAAAACACAATGTAGCAAAATGTTAACATCTGGGCAATTGAAGGATGTAGGGTGTTCTTTGTGCTATTCTTGTGACTGTCCTAGAAGCCTGAACTAGTCAAAATACAGGGCTAACAGCTGCACCCGAGGAAGGGACCAGCGATGCTCTTTTGTGACCAGTGGCATTCATGGGCGACTGCGTCTGTCATTTATGGAGCTTCCTGCTTGGCAATTCTGCACGGTGACCACCATGGTAGGCAGGCAGTGAAAGGACCTTTGAAGGCACAGGAGGAAACAGCTGCCTCCTGACAAGTGGCTCTGGGGATCTTCAGGGTAGAAGATACACACACACACACACACACACACACACACACACA